TCCTTATCTGAAATAATAGCATCAGTTGTGGACCAGCAGCAGAAGCAGGATGGCTGCTGTAGAAATTATTGAGTAATGAATGAATAATGGCCTAAGGAGCAATGGATGAAGTTAATAGAGAGTTGCATACTCTATGCACTAATAGTAATCTGAATAATAAATAGGAGCCCATTTGTATCATTTCTTATTTGGGGAATTAAAAAGCAACTTCTGTTTATATACTAACCAGCACATATAAACATATATGAAATCATAATGCCATATATTAAAAAAGGTAAACTAAAAGTAAAATTTAAATGTTACACCAAAACATACTGCTATATAAAAAGCATCATTGAAAAATGAAAGCAAATTATAGATCATTCTAAAATAATCACTTCCATTATATAGTTGTTTAGTTATTGGATGGCCTTGAAATGCAGGAAGATATTTTTTTTTAAAATCTGGCTATGATATTTCCCATATACACATGCTACAAGGTACACTAAAATAGCAAAATTGCTCAAAATCATTATCTCTAAATGGAATTATTACTACCAAATATATATACATTAAACTTAATCAATAATTATCCTTCTGGAATAAGAAAATGGACTGAAACTTTATTTTAGAAATCAATATTGTTTATATTTACTTCAGTGTCCCCTCTACGTCCAGATGTGAATGTCAGTAATCAATCCCACACATAAATCCTTTTATTGTTTTACTTGCTTCAGAACCATAAGCAGAGTTCATTGTCAGTCAGATGGCATTGTTGTGGCTTTCCTTTCTCAAAATCAGGCAACTTTCTAAGGACTGTGGTCTCTCACGCAACCAAGAAATGTTCCTGCTCATTAAGACTGTACACTGTTATCTATTTCCTTTCATCTCAGGGATTAGTTCTCAACTCCCACGTGCTAGCTAAACCATTTTGATTAAATTCTTGTCCCAAAATTATTAATCTTTATAATGACCAATATGTTGTCTTTTTCCTCACAGGAAGCAATTACAATATTACCTACTTATCATCATTACATTAAAAATTACACAACTTCATCTCTGCTCAGGATCCTGTAAGCCTCTCTTCTCCAATTCCATGCATATGTGCTCCCAAGACATAATTCTATTGTTAGAGCAGTGACAATGGCAAACAGAGAAGAGCCCTGGAATTAGTGACCCAAAAGCTCTGAATGTAAAGCTTTGGTTTTTCTATAGGGATTTAGATCTAATATTTCATCATTTCTCCTAACAAGTAATCCAATCCTGTTAGTATGGTAAGAGCAGCTATCAAGCAATAAGTGATAGCTATTTCAGATGCATCAACCCATTTTAATCCTTTAACATGCTCAGTTCCTATATATTTTCAGCTTGTACACAAGCTGTCTTTAGGCACAATCCCAATTCAGCATGCTTTGAGCCACTTCAGTTCAAGCCTTCCAGGTACGAGTACAGAAGCTTTCCCATCACACCACCAATTGTCCAGGGCCTCACCCTCCTTTTCTTGGTGTTTAAGGGCATGGAGAAATATGGAGGAGGGGATGTCCATTCACAAGTGTTAGTTGGGACAGATGGCTCATTTCTGAGTGTTCAGTGTTGCTGGAGATAAGAGGGTTGCATCCTGTTCCCAAGTGGCCTTCAAGACCTCCCTTGTCTTTTGTGGTTAGGATGACCATACTGCCTAGTTTGTTCAAGACATTCCAGTTCATGCTATTGTCCCTGTTGTCCTAATATAATTGGTGCCCTTATCACTCCCAAGTGTCCCCGTTTGGGCAATAAATTATATGGTGGCCGTGTTTATGGTAGAACTTTGCAAATCCACCCACTTGGGCTGCTTTTCCTTTATCAACTTCCTGGATCCCTGTTCTGCCTACTTTATGATTAACCTCCTTTCCTCTTCTCCTGACCTTGCTGACCCCAAATCTTTATCTCCAGGAATTCTTTTCTTCTTCTCTTCATGATGCAGAAAGTAAACTTTAGACTCAGACAATACTGATATGCAACCTGCACAGAGGGTCAGCATACATCGTTTGGATAGTCTGGTCCCATCGTAATTAATTATTCTAAAACCATCCCGGATCCAGAGCCCATCAACAAAGGAGTCTCTCAGACTTACTAAACCAGTCTATCATGACAGATGGGGCTCAATCATGTACTTTTCCAGAGCTTCACAGGTGATTCTCACAGGGGTCACTATGTAGTCCTGGCTCCATATGTACCAGGCACCTCACATGTCATCTCACTTAATCATTATAATCCCAGAGGGGCAATATAGTGTGTAGTAGTTAGGAGCACAAGGTTTTAAAAATAACGTACTAAGGCAGTAATTTTTCAGCCAGTGTGCTGCAAGAATTTTTTTCAAACATGTAATACCTGACTATTTAGTCAGGGGCACTGAACTCTTCCTTGTCAAATAAAAATGTGACAACAGTCAATACAATAGCATCCAGTGTGACTGCCCTGTCTTTAATCATAAATATATAGGTCATATAATAGTGCTGCATCTTATTGGTCACATTGCATAATAAGGTTGCATCTGATTAATTCTCGGTATCAGAAATTTTCATATACAAGTATAGGCACCTGATTTTTTAAAAAATTTGTTTGAATACTGTTAAAATGCTTTATTATTTTTTTCTTTATTGATTAAGGTATTACCTATGTGTCCTTATCCCCCCATTCCCCCCCCAACCCCCCTGCTCATGCTCACCCCTCTAGTGTCTGTGTCCATTGGTTATGCTTATATGCATGCATACAAGTCCTTTGGTTGATCTTGCCTCCTTCCCTCCACCCTCCCCTGCCCTCCCTCTGAGGTTTGATGGTCTGATTGATGTATGCTGAGACCAGTACTATCAGTTCTACAATTTTAGGATGCCTCCTCCC